TGCGATGATCGTTTACATGGGGAAACCCCAAGTTTCACACGTGACATGAATTCTGGATATTGCTGTGTATCAAGAAGGCATAAATAGAAAGTAAGATTTGAGGAAAGATGGAAGATTCTGGAAAAAGAAGCTATTTTGTTGATGCAGAAACTGTGGGCACCAACACAGATAACGAGAAGGAGATGAGTAGATGAGAGATAGAGGACAAAGTTAGCCTCACACAGCTTAGGGCTGTCTAAACCATCCTTTTCCTGGAGACACACTGCCATTTATCTGAGTGGTTTTTGAATTTCCTCATAATGTATATGCCAACATTGGTGTGGATCAGCGATACAGAAATCCAAAGTCATGGAATCACTTTAAGGAGACAGATAGACGTGTTTCTAACCATGCAGCTATTTGGCTAAATTCAGGTCCCACTTAAAAATATTATCTGGATTTAAGATAATCCTTAGAGGATTTTGATTCCATTAAAAAGTTTGAGCATAGGACAGATGTAATCCTTGATTTCTCATTTAATAAAATGTGAAGGAAAATGAGTGGAACATACACCAGCACCCTGAAATAACAAATATCAGATGGTTAGAAATAACTCTTGAATACATTCCGACAAAATAGGAATGCATTTGAAATCACTGGGTGATGTTTTAGGTGGTCTGGGGAAATGTAGCTCTTCCTCCCCTTTTTTGGTCTAATGAAAAAAAATCTCTTCCACAGAAGCATTTGCACTTCTAGTAGTCACACGGTGCCAAGGCACAGCATTCCTCACTGATTCCTGCCTTGCAAGTCAGGAAAAACGTTTTAAGCATTTACCAGGTGGCAGACACTGCGCTAGTTGCTTTGTCACCTAAACAAGAACAGCATCCCTCTTTAACAAGAACAGGAATCCTTCTTTTCCATTTCATTTAAGTCCAAAGTTAACCTTCTGAAAATATGTAAAATATGACATATTAAATATATTGCACTGTAATCATAATTGCTGGAATTTTTGTAGCATGTTAAAATTTTCAAAGTCATTTTGCAAGTATCTTTTCATTTGATACTGACCATATATGGTGTGTTTACTATGTGCCAGATATTGTAATATATTGTCTCATTTAGTCTTTCTAAGAACCCCATGTAGTAAGTGCTTTTATTGTTATAGAGAAGAGTCTCAGTTCTGGGGGTAGTCAGAACAAGCGTTTTAAATAGATTAGGAAACAGGCTCACGGAGCTTAAATGACTTCCATAGTCATTAGGCCTTAACGACCTAGACTTTCTAACCTTTCTTATGGACCAGTCTGCCATGATACCATGATACCTTCATGTGAACTTCCTGACATTAAAATGCCCTTACCTCACTATCTTTATTGGCCACTTGTATTGCTTTGCAAAGGGTTTACTTAATTATCTGTGTAGCCTCATAGATTCAGGATGAGGCGTGGATGGAGGATTACCCACCTAGATTCGGAGAGGGTGGGTAGATCTGATTAAACAGAGAACTTACTTGAGGAGATGGAGCCAAGACAAGGAACCCCCCTGCTCTCTGTTCCAGCGCAGTCTGCTTGGGCGGTGGGGTGCTGTGTGCGAGCGGGGCTGTCCGAGAGTGTGTACTAGGAAACAGACTTCAAGACAGGGTTTCACATAGAAAGTTCGTTGTGAGTGTTTTCAAGACGTACGTCTGTAAGGTGGTGGAGAAACCCACCTGTATTCCTGCAGCAGAGGAGGTCTCAGCCAATTCTACAGGGAGCTTTGGAGCTGGGACGGCCCCTCAGAGCTGTTCTGATTGATGCGTGGGGACCAGACCTTCCCATCCCTTCATCAGCCAGCCATTGGCGGTAGGCTGTCCCCAAGAGGGGCTGACACCCCTGACAAGGCAGCTCTTGCAGCTGAGATAATTCCCAGTGAGTCCCGGCAGCTCAGTATTCTTAGCAGCGGGCATGGGGGGGTGTGTGCGTCAGTCTGAGGGGATCTGAGTAGAGCACCTTAGCACCACAGTCCGTCCCTGTGTCACCCAAATCTACTTACTTGTTATGATAAAATCACCCTATTTGGGAACATCTCTCGTTGAATTTTGGCTGGTCTTGTTTCCTGGGAGCTTATGAGGGAAGGTTTAGTAGGAAATACCGCAGTTCTTGCTGCTGCACTTGATCTCAAGCCTCCTTCACCACTCATTCTGCCCTTCTTCACCACTCATTCTCTGTTCCCCTCAACTCTGGCTGGCTCCTGTGCTGATCTGGGCGGCTTACCTGCTGGAGGTAACCAGTCCCTCATCTCAGAGGGTCCTGAGCTCCTGGTTACTGTGCTGTTCTCAGTCTGTGGCTGCTGTTCTCACCCATTCGCCATTAAATGATGAGCATGGCAGCATCAAGAGACTCCCCAGTAGACACCTGATTGCCAACCACGATCTTCCCTACTTCTATCATGTAGCAGAAGCAAAGCCCCGTCCTGTTGACCAGGGTCAATTACCCTTGCCAGGTGCTTGATTCCTTTACTTGCTTACTGGTCTCTTGGCATGAGGACCCCAAAATAATTGGGTGGCAGCTTTAGCTTAAGGTTTAAAGGGACTCTTAACTGTGTCCTCATGTAGTAGGGTTCCTCCTTTGGGAATTAGGAGGTTTAGATCCACAGAGCCAAAACTTGAGTGGACAGAAAGCAAAGTCGGGGACATTAAAGTAAGTCCCCGACTTTGCAGTGCTCAGGACAGTGCCTGGTACATAGTAGCACTCAAGAAGCATTTGATGAATGAATGAATGAATATTGGCCAGTTGTGGTTTTACTTGTTTGCTATTTCTATTTGGATTTCCTCTTTTCCACTCTACTGCAGACTCATTGGGTACTCAGCTCCCTTCTCCAACTTTGGAATCTCTCATGGGCTTCCTATTCTCCTAACTCCACAATCCATCTTTCACCTTGCATAGTTAGCCTCACGCCATCATCTCACCTCCCACTTAGACCTTCTGGTCTTGCTCCTACTCTTTTCAGGACCCTGTCCTTGCTAGGGAGTTGGTAAAATAATATGTGCTCCATGTGTGTGGGGCTCACCATGTACTTACCACAATCCTCGAAGAATTTCTTTAACCTAAAGCTGTCTGTCTAATAGCAGTAGTTTCAGGGATAGTTACAATTAGGTAGAGGAACTGAACTTTGGGTGAGAGGGAATTTGAATGTCTTTTGAATCATTCCAAGTTAACTGCTGCTGAGTCTACTCATGCTGAATGAAGTAGAATTGAGAGAGAAACCCAGGTGCAAAGAGACTGTGTGTTTAGGAGATAGAATGGGGAATTTAAGGACATTCCAGCTGTGAGGAAGGAACCCTCAGGTGAGAGACCAAGATGTTTGAGATTCTAATGCTGAAGATGATCAACAACATCTCTTCTCCAGACTTCTTCTTCCTTATTGAAAGGCTTCAATGAATAGACTGATGTGTCTCTGTGTATAATAATCTGCTCTTGTGTGAACCTACCCATCATGAACAGAGAGGTGTAGCAGCAGAGCTTTGAAGCCTTAATTGCTCCAAAATCACTGCTTTAGTGGTGCTTACTTCATCCCAGCTCCCAGCCTTTCCCTGGCGCCTGCCTGCTGAGTCTGAGTAGGTGAAGGAGCCCCAGGGGCCAGCCACTTCTGTTTCCTCCCAATGCAAGAATCTCTCCAGTAATTCCTGTGGTTATCATCTTGAAAATTGCATTATCTCCCATGGCAGCCCATTCGATTGTTTTCAGGATAGTAGGGTTGGGAAATTCTCTTCTTACTTGCAATTCCACAAGTTCTACATGCGATGCATTGTGTTGGCCTCTGGCCCTCGGAAGGACAGACTCAGTCTTCTGCTCCTACTGGACAGCTCCAGCAATCTTGTGCTTCAGTTACTCAGCCTGCAGAGGGTTAATTATGCATGCAGCTCTGGTCTGCAGTGGAAAAGCACAGTGTGGAATTAAAGTCACAGAAACAGTCCTTTCTAGCTGATGGCTCTCTGCCTCTCATTGCCAAAAACATGAATGTTGGCAAAAGATACAAATGTGGGTCATGATTTTGGGTTGAGCATATGATGGAAGTCCAGCAGCCTTTGGCTCTGGGCCTCTGGATCTTCATTTGGAGTTTCTGGCTCTATGTTTAGTGACTCTAAGGACCACTGAAACAATCTTGGCTGTGTTTGTGCGTGTGTGTTTGCATATGTGCCTATCACAGGGACTAGGGTGTTAGGGTGTTAGGAGAGAAGAACACTGGAGATCTAGATTTTTCTATAATTGATAAAAAAGAAAGACTGGTCTGAAAAGTTTGCAGAATCCTGAAGTAAAGTCACTGCACACACCACAGCCATTAATCATTGAAAATGGAGCCCAACATTGACATGTCCTCTGGCTGGATGTAGCATCACTCATACATTCAGTTCGTATATGCTGTCTGTCACTGAATGGGTAGCCCCATTGCTGGTTATGCATAGGATGCATAATCTAAACCACCCATGAGTTTGAGATTGACTAGAAAAGTCAGTGATATCAATAAAATAATAATAATTGTAGCTACTATTGATTGAGTGCCCTCATTAGATAGATACTGTGGAATTCATATGGTCCTCCCTTCCACACTCCCCACCACCATAGCATCCTTGCAAAGTGAACATTATCAGAGGTTCTGGGACCAGGATGTGCCAGAGCTGGGACTGCAGCCCAGGTTTTTCTGACTGCACAGTCTTGGTTCTCTCCATGAAGCCAAACTGCCTCCCCACAGGGACGGGGGCAGAAATCAGTCACAAATCAGCAACAGCAACGTTGTGCTGAAAACACTGAGTCCAGTCCACATGGCCTCATTGAGCATGCAGAGATCTAGCGAGGCAAATTCAGTCTAGGCAGACATCCTGGAGGAGGCATCTCCTTGGCTGAATCTTACAAGCAATGGAGAATTCAAATTTGTGGGGAAATTGACTTGGCCTTCACTTGGATTTGGTTTGCTCAGAGATCAAACAAAACTAACACATGGAAAAACTATTCACCTTCCCCTCCCTTCCCTTTTCCCTTCCGCAGGAAGAAAGTCTCACCTGAAGGAAGTGGCAGGGGTCCTCTGCACCTGATCTCTGTTTTTGCCTGTGCTGAGGTAGGAAAACCAATCTCCCTGCTCATCTTCTTCCTCCCTCTCCCCTCAGACTGGAGTCTCATCCTGCACTTTGTGGTTTTCACTTAACGAATGTTAATGAGATGGCATTGTAATCACCGGATTTTATAACTGTCTCATCCACAAATTGGACCACAAAACCCAAATGAGCCAGCTGAGCATCTATATTCCACGAGCCTGTGTTTCCCCCACAGTCTTAACCAGAGGATGTAAAACGTGTTCTTGCTTTGAAGCCGTGCGGGCCCATGGGTGTGAGAGGCTGGAGGCGGCTGCCGTCTGCCCGGCCCTCACTCAAGTGGCTCGCTGGGTACGAGCCCTTCACACAGTCCTGGGTGATGTGAGGGATTTAGGCTTGATCAATTATACCCTTTTCAAGTTAACGCTAGAAAAATGAGAAATTGATTTTTTTGACGAAACAATATTTTAGAAATTCAGGATATAAAAATGGGATTTGACCTCTCTTATCAAGTCAGCTATCATGGCGATGATTACAGTCTACAATTATGCCATATTTTGTATGTCACGGCCTGATGCGATCAGCTTGTCAGATTTGTTCTGGGAGAGGGCAGAGCAGTGATGAGGCTTCCAGCTGCGTCTGCTTTGCGGGGCGAGGGGGGAAGACTGGAGGATCCATCTTGTTCAGCAAACCTGCTAGCGCGAACGTCCTCAGACACGGGCATCAGATTCTGACGATCCTGCTTAATCTCTGCAGAGATCTAATAAGCAAAAGCTGTACTGCATCCTTTTTCTGGAGTTTTAGGTTTTTACCTAGTATTTCTTATTTTTACCCAATGCGCTCTTATTATTATAACGAAATTATAACCAAACAATATGATTTCACAATAAGCAAAGAGGTGACATATATTGCAGGCAGTCTATCGCCTCCAATGATGGGTTAGATAGCATTTTGAAGGGAGGACCGAGCCTTACGCGTTTCTTTATCTTCAAAACTTACACACAACACTACTTGGCCCATAGACTGAGCTTAATTGGTTGAATATTTGTAAATAATATTTCAGCCTTGGAAATATCCAAAGAATATTCCTTAGCTTTTCCACTGGAGCCAGTATTATGAAAGAAATCCAAATTCTTAAAAATCTGCCATTAAAAAATGTTGCTTGCTTTGCGTAAGTGACAGTTTGCAAGGTGGTTAGTAATCCAAACATTTGAGTAACCTGGTAAAAGTTTCCTGGTAAATGAAACAAAAATAAGTATAATGGAAGGAGAACATGAGAGACTGTGTTAAAAACAACAGTACAACGACAACAGCAACAAGAAACCTCTCTTTAGATGCAGAAACCTGAGTGATTGTAACTTTAACTTTCTTATTATTCATTTCTAGGTGCTTAGCCATTTTCCTCAATGTAATTTGTTTAATCACTAATTTAAAATGTCTTTATAATCATATACTGAATTCTTGGATCTGCTTTCAGAATTTCTGTTCAAGAACAGAATATATTGATTTTTTACGTCAACTCATTCACCAGTAATATACTTTTAATTATAGTAACTTTTAAAATATGTTTTAATATCTTCCAAGGCTAGTCATTCATTACTAATTTTTTTAAAAATAATTTTTGGATTATTTTCTCATAGTTATTCTTCAGGCTGAGCTTAAAAGCATTCTGTCAAGTTAAATTGGTCTTTGCCTTGTCCTCTGCCTTCTATTTCCAAAATCTGGTTAGAATTTTGTTACATTTGTGTATTAATTTGTGAAAAATTTGACTAATTTATGATATCTGATCTCTCAATCTAATGTGCTATCTCCTACTAATGCTATGGAGAAAATACAATGTAGCAAGAAAGTAACTAGACTGAAAAGTACCTGCCCAGTAGTGACCACATTTCTGTTGGCTGTTTGTGCTGTGGTTCTCTCATTTCAGATGTTGAAAAGCACAAACATCTTTATAAATCAGAAGCTTTCGCATTTATGTTTTTTCATAATACGTAACCTTCTTTGTTTGATAGAATATAAACACCCTTTCTACAATTCTAGGACTCTGCGTCAGATAAAAAAATGAGATCAATAAGTCAATATATGGAGGACTTCTAATTCTTAGGGAGTGGAATTGCAAAATACGGCTGGGCGGGGCGAGGTGGCTCACACCTATAATCCCAGCATTCCGGACGGCTGAGGAGGGAGAATTGCTTGAGCTCAGGAGTTTAACACCAGCCTGAGCAAGAGCGAGACCCCGTCTCTACTAAAATAGAAAAATTAGCCAGGTGTGGTGACGTGCACCTGTAGTCCCAGCTACTTGGGAGGCTGAGGCAGGAGGATCGCTTGAGCTCAGGAGTTTGAGGTTGCTGTGAGCTAGGCTGACACCACTGTACTTTACTCAGGGAGACAGAGGAAGACTCTGTCACAAAACAAAACAGAACAAAACAAAAACCCCACCAACCAAACACAAACCACTGCTTCTGCCTTAAAAAAAAAAAAAAAAAAAAAAAGAATAAGCCAGATAAGTTACAAAATCATAACCCATCAAATATAGTAACCAAAAAGTGGAAGCAACCCAAGTGCTTTGATGAAAGGATAAGCAACATGTGGTACACATAGAGTGGCTTATTATTCAGCCATTAAAAGGAAGGAAATGCTGATGACATGGATTAGCCTTGAGGACATTATACTAAGGGAAATAAGCCAGTCACAAAAGGATAAATATTATATGATTCCACTTATATGAGTTACCTAGAGTAGTCAAATTTGTAGAGATAGAAATAGAAATGTGGTTGCCAGGGGCTGGCAGGAGAAGGGAAAGTGGATTGTTTAAAGAGTACAGAGTTTCCGTTTGGGAAGATGAGAAAGTTGGACATGAATGGTGATGATAGTTGTACAACAATGTCAGTGTACTTAGTTCCACTGAACTCTACACCTAAAAACGGTTAAAATGATAATTTACGATCATATATATTTTACTACTAAAAAAATCAGAGTGGCAAAAACAGAAAGAAACCTGAAGGAAATATAATCTGGAAAGTGATGAGCGTTTCCCAGGAGGAAAGAATAGGAAAGTGGCAGGGAAGAACATGCCAAAGGCAGGGATAAGAAGCCAGGTAAACTTCAAATAACTTTTTTAAAAATTAGAGTTTTAATTGAACTATAATTGACATACAATAAATTGCAAATATTTAAAGTATAAAATTTGACAAGTATTGGCATCAGTATACACCCATGAAACCTTTACGACAATCAAAGTAATGAGTGTGTCTATTACCTCCAAAAGTTTCTATGTGTCCCCCTTTTAATCCTTCCTTCTCTACTGCCCCCACCTCCTACCACCCACCCTCCCATCCCAAGCAACCAGGGTCTGATTTCCGTCACTATGGGTTAGTTTGTATTTTCAAGAATTTTATATGATACAAATGGAATCGTGGAGTAGGTACTCTCCTAGGTTTGGCTTGTTTCACTTAACATGATTATGCTGAGATTCATCTCTATCGCTAATTGCATTAGTAATTCATTTCTTTTTACTGCTGAAAAGTATTCCGTGGTATGAATACCCTCCCCCAACCCTCCCAGACCTATAGCTGTACGATTCCTTCTTTTTTTTTTTTTTGAGACAGAGTCTCGCTTTGTTGCCCAGGCTAGAGTGAGTGCCTTGGCGTCAGCCTAGCTCACAGCAACCTCAAACTCCTGGGCTCAAGCAATCCTTCTGCCTCAGCCACCCGAGTAGCTGGGACTATAGGCATGCGCCACCATACCCGGCTAATTTTTCTATATATATTAGTTGCCTAATTAATTTCTTTCTATTTATAGTAGAGACGGGGTCTCACTCTTGCTCAGGCTGGTTTCAAACTCCTGACCTCGAGCAATCTGCCCACCTTGGCCTCCCAGAGTGCTAGGATTACAGGCGTGTTTGTACGAAGTCCAGGAACAGGCAAAATCATCTGTAGAGATCGAAACCGGAATGTGTTTTCCTCTGCGATGGAAGAATTGACTGGGAGGGGGGCGCGATGGAAATTTCGGGACTGACTGAAATGTTTTATATGTTGTCATGAATGGGGTTAAAATTCACGAAACTAAATACTTAAGATCTATGTACTTTATTACATGTAAATTCTTCTTCAGTAGGAAAAGAGAAAATCTAGCCTATAGGCATGGAAAAGTCCAGCGACGTCAGCAGAGTGTCTGTAGTCCTAAAGCCACCAATGAGCAGAGAGGCTGGTATGGCTGGGTGGCTGGGGAGGGGTCAGCCAGTGCATCACCATCCTTTGGGAGCTGGCATCAGTCATTCACCACCCTGGGTTTTAGTTTCCTCCTCTATGAAGTGGCCAGACCCTATGATCAATAAGCAGGGTGATCGTGTTATCGTATATTGTCCAAATCATGACGTTCTTGAGAGATGAAGCTCTGTTGGTAATTATGCCAGGACAAGTGTTGTACACTGGTCCTTTCCTGGGCAAAGAGGGGAGAACAGTCACCATGAACCTAAGCATCTCTAAAGTGTCTCAGAGCATGCGAGGTGACAGCGGTGTGTCAGCAATAGTCTGCATCTAGGAGTCAGATCTTACGAGTGATCTCACGGGCTCTGTTTGATCTGATGCCGTGTCCAGATCTGTCGGCACAGCCGCTTGCAGCGCAGTGAGAGGGGTTCTGGAAAGGCCTCCAGCCCGTCCAGTCTATGGATTGCTGCTGTCCATGCCTGTGGAATAATAAAGACTTTCTGATAGGAAGACGTTGATATTTCTAGGTTAAAAACTATTGTTAAAATGGGCCGGATACGGTGGCTCACGCCTGTAATCCTAGCATTCTGGGAGGTTGAAGAGGGAGGATCTCTTGAGCTCAGGAATTTGGGATCAGCCTGAGCAAAAATGAGATCCCGTCTCTACTAAAAATAGAAAAAATCAGCCAGGCACAGTGGTGCCTCACTTGTTGTCCCAGCTACTCGGGAGGCTGAGGTAGGAGGATCGCTTGAGCCCAGGGATTTGAGGTTGCTGTGAGCTAGGCTGATGCCACGGTGACAGGGTGACAGAGTGAGACT